AACGGCTTGATAGAAAAGACTTCGCGCCCTACTATTTCCAAAAACGCTTCGATCAGCGGGCGTATCGGCATCAAAGGCGATGATGAACATACATAGGCCAGGAAAACTCGTCGGACCGGGAGGGAATAGAGGGCGTGGAGACAGGTTGTGGGGGGGGGTCACAGGGGCACCGCAGGGGACTCGGACGACATTTCGCCTCCAATCTATTAGCCTTACTATGATGTTTACTGTCTAGAAAAACACTCTTGGGATCCCACTCCAAGACCGGGAGAACATTGTGACCGGAATGCGTGCCAAGGGACAAGGGGTCCTGAAAACCCTCAAGGGGATCGGAAATGTCTTCGGGAGAAACACTGTGCGAATCACCATCCATCGCCATGGTCAGCCGACAAGTTCACACACATCTCTGTGTTCTTAGTGTATCCCCTGCTTGGCCCTCGTAAGTAGACACGTTCCGGGGGTTCAGCTTTTAGAAGTTTGCTCTGTAGTTTTGGGCACCGGTTCGCAGTACCCTGCCTGCGGTTCAATTAGCGTGATACCAAGGCTAAGGGGCCCTGGGAAACGCCACAGGGGGCTCTGTGGTCCAGTGGATGCGACGTGCGAGTTCCCTCTCACTTTGTGCGAGGTTGATGGTTGCTCTGTCCTCTTGTTTCAGGATGACAATCACCGGTTGTGCCTCCGCCATGCTGCCTGTCGGATCGGTAATTCTTTTAACCCGGAGTCATGCGACGTTTGTTCCTTGTACTTGCTCCAGTTCACCCAAGCTACTGAACATGATATGAGGGTGCAGGCAGCAGCAGTGTTACATGTTCAATTAGGTTGCTGTAACACGATATGTTCGTTGCTTGCCCAGATGGCCCGAGACTGCCCCATTTTGGTTCTAGGGACCCGGACTTGGGGGTGGGAGTCGCTTCGACTTTGGTTCCGTCTGCCCCTCCTTGTCCTTTCCCTTCGGTGGTTCATCCGGTTCCCCGTCCCCCCCTTCCTTGTGTCTGGCTCCAAAACGTCTTAGAATTTCAGAGTTGAGGCAGGGTTTAGTTGGTGTTAAAAGACTCTGGGGAGTCCTCTTCTGGGGACCGACTATCTGTCGGTCCCGCTCGCTTGAGTGGAGGGAGGCTCAGACAGCGTTGCAGGTTTTCCTGGGGGGGAGGGGGCGAATTTGAGCATCTCAATGCATATTTGTTCGCCCCTGCCCTTCCGCAGGATGTTGGTGTGATGCAGCTTCATGTGCAGGTTCCTTCCCTTTCGGCTACCTTGGTCACGAAGGATTTGCATACACGTGGCCTGCTGGCTTCGGCCCTGCGTTTCTTCTCCCTCCTCGAGCTGTCCTCTGATTGGCTTGCGTTGGATGTGGAGGAGCTTGGGAGCCGCCTCTTGGTCTGGTGTGTTGCCCTCAGTGGTGCGTGCGTCGTCTGCATTGTTGAAGCTGTTCGCATCTGTCCTGCGGTACGCGGTTTTGCATTTTTTTGCTTCTCCACTCGTGTGTCGGCAGGCGGTGCTTGCTTCTTCCCTGGAATCCACTTGGGCCCTGGCTCTTATGTTGTCTTCGCCTTTTTGTCCGTTGCTGTTTGCAGAGTGCGGTAATGCAGTATCTGCAGGCAGCTTCGGCTAGTTGCCATCCTATGTTGGACTTGTTAGTCCTCCGAGGGGCTCATGGGGAGGCCTTGCTGGAAGGGTCGTACCAGGGCTCTGGGTTCTTTTCGTCATGGTAGGCCAGTGGTGCAGTCTTCAGTTCCATCTTTTTCTGGTCGGCACGGGGATCGCCCTGTGCGCCACTTAGGTTCTCATAAGGTGCGTTGGCCCTTTCGTGGTTTGTCCCATTGACGGAGCGATGGGGCGGGGGAAGCTCGCTCTGTTTGCTCATGCCTGATCCCACGATTTGGGATAGGTGGGATGTGGGGCCTTTCGGGTCATTTTGTGTGGTCTGTGGTGGCGTTGGGTGGCTTCTCCTTCAGGGGAAAGAATGTCCTGTGGTTTATCCACATTTTTATTATATATAGAAAAGAAGGGCTTTCTTTCTGGGTGGGAGCCCCTTAATTGGCTCCCCGGAGCTATCCGGCTGATACGGATGTATAAGCTTTGGGCATCAGTCAATGTACATGGAGTTCTAGGCCTACTGGGGACCACGGGCCAGAACCTGGCCCCTTCAGAGAGGTGCGACGAGCAATGGCTTATAGAGACGCCTTATATATAGTTTAGAAGTACTCTATGTCTGCCATCGACCAGGTCAGACATCCAGAAAGATAGGCGCCCCAAAACACCCCCCATTCTGGAAATGCTACCAAACGTCGAACAAGAGGATAGAACTCTCCGTGAAGAAAAACTATTAAACGAGCATGATGTCATCTCGTTACCAATGCGCTGCCATCTGCACAACCCCACCCCCTCCCTGCCGGCTACTCGAGCCTGTTAGTTCGTGACTGATGTCGGTGGGTTTAGGTTGTGTATCTCCAGCTCCAGCTTTTCTTCTCTGTTCTTGCTTCGGTTGTGTGCGAGTTGGGAGTATATTCACAAGTACTCGGGCTGCATGCGCTTAAGGTCCCCTTCCCTAAGTGCCCTGTAAGTACAGTACTGCCCTTGGGGCTTGGGGGCTATCGCCGTTGTGTCAATTCCTGCTTGGTACTTGTCTGTCCTTGGAGTCAGCTGGGAGGTTTTCTTGCTCCTCTGTTTGTCTCTGGGTAGGTTAGTTTTCACCTCTCATAGCGGCCGGGTCTGCAGCTCTCTCATAGCGCTAGGTTGTTTGCTACCCCGGAAGCCCTGTGGCTGCCCCGTTTTGCTTATAATGTCCCGAACTTGGGGGTATGGGTCGTTTCAGCCTTGGTTTGGTCCGCTTCCCTTCTTTCTTCCCCCTGCTGTGGTGCTTTCTGGTCCCCTCCTCTCCTGCTTCTGTCTCCATAGCGTTTGAAGGCTTCGGGGTCGGGTCGAGGTGTAGCTGGTTTGGAGACTCGGGGCAGTCTCGGGGGATGCCCCTTCCGGGGTGGTGACGGAGGCATTCGAGTCGGTTCCTCCAGCCGTTGTGTATGGGTCTGACCAGTGGACCCCCTTCCTTAGTGATTTTACGGCTGCCAGAGACGGTTCGTAAGTCGAAATATCGTAAGTTGAAATCAATTTTCCCTTAAGAAATAATGGGAATTGAATTAATCTATTTCAACGCCCAAAAATATTAACTTAAAAATACATTTTATACTGAATACAATTTTTTTCTAACTACAATACAGTACATATGTTCATCTTACCTTTATCGGGGACTCTTGATGCGTATGGAAGATGGTGAGGAGGAGAAGAGGTGTTACTGCTTGGAAGGGGAGTCCCCTTCCATTATAACATCAGGCCGTGATGACTTCTCTGGGGTACGCTCTCTGGCACGTTTTGCCTGCATACCACCAGGACCTGGTTGTGGTTCACTGCTTGTTTGTCTCATTAAAAATTTGTCCATGGAAATTAGTTTTTTCCTTCGTTCATCACAGTGTCATTGAAAAGGTTAAGGCAATGGCCTACTGCAGCTTGATTTGGACGAGTCGTTTCAGCAAAAGTTTGCAGTTCTTCTCATGCTGCACACATTTTCTTAATTTTTGAGGAAGGGACATTCTGTACTGCTTTTATGGTCATCCTCACATGTGTTTCCATATGTTGAACCTTACCACTGACTTTCTTGGAACCCATGGCATAATATATAGTAATTACTTTTATGTTCAAAAAACAAAAAATCACCAGAATAATGGAGTTTCTTACAAGCGTGATCGTCGCTAAGCGGGCGGCTCAGTTAAACTGAAGCAGGTCGGCCCATGCCACCGGGAACCATGCGCTCGGTCGACCCGAACGCCTATCAATGAATATCGTTAGTTGATGACACGATCGTAAGTCGAGTCGCATTTTCCGACCAAATTTACATCGTAACTCGAAAATATCGTAAGTCGAGGTGTTGTACTTGTTGTGGCTCCTTCGGTTCAGGGTTGTTTCTCGGAGATTTCTGCTCCTTTGGTTTATGGTGTACGGTTTGTTCGTTTGCAGCTGACTCTTTCTTTTCTGGTGAGGTTGGAACGGCTGTTTTCCGGAGGGGTCCCTGGGGTTGTTGACGCTTCTTTGGTTGGCCAGGGGGTGCATCTTCTTGTGTCCGATTGTGGCTCTCTGCCATTGCCTACATGCCGCAGCCTCTGTGCTCCTGGATGCGATTTGGGTTGCCTGGGTTCCCTTCGTCCCCGTTCCAAGGTTCGGGTCTCCCAGGTCATCTGCAGGGTCGTTTGGTGTTGCCAGTTGTCTTGCTTTCGGGTTTTGGGCGCGTGGTTTCCGTCTCCTGGGTTTGTCCCTCTTTTGTCCTTGTTTTTAGGAAGTTAGCTCCGGGGAGCCAAAGGGGCCCCTCCCAGAAAACTAGCGTTGAATGTAATAAAACGTTATTTTCTGGGTGAGACCCAGAGGGTCCCAGCATCCTCCCTCCCTCTGGTCGGCATTTCTTTTCGCGTGTTTTGACATCCAGCCTAAGAACTGATAGGCTCGGGTAGCCAGCAAGGAGGAAGGGGGGGTCTGGGACGTCCCCTTTCCCCTCTCGGGGAGGGGGGGGGAGATTGCACAGACAGCGGCGCGTTGGTAACGAGATGACTTCATGGTCGTTTGACAATTTTTCTTCATGGAGAGTTCTATCCTCTCGTTCGGCGTTTGGAAGCATTTCTTCACCAGAATGGGGGGGGGGGGTATTTTAGGGCATCTTTCTTAGTGCCCGACCCGGTCGATGGCAGACATAGAGTACTTCTAAACTATATATAGGCCATTGCTCCTCGCGCCTCTCTGAGGGAGCCAGGTTCTGGCTTGTGGTCCCTGGTAGGTCTAGAACTCCATGTACATTGACAGATGCCCAAAGCTGATACATCCATATCAGCCGGCTAGCTCCGGGTGCCTCCAGGGCCCACCCAGAAAATGGTGTTTTATTACATTCAACACTTGTTTTTTATACAATATTACAGTTTTATCATTGCTAAAAAGTCTTGTTTTTTTCCTTCCTACAGTACATTACCAATGATGGAACAATATGTGTCTTCCGGACTAACAAAGGGGCACCCAATTACCGTCTGGTGAAGATTGACTTAGCCAGCCCTGCTCCTGAGAAGTGGGAAACTCTTGTCCCAGAGCATGAGAAGAATGTCTTGGACTGGGCAGCTAGCGTCCATGGAAACAAGCTAGTTATATGCTACATTTGTGATGTGAAGGTAAGTAGAGTAAAAAAAAAATAAACGTTTCATGTTATGCCATTCTGTCTATACAATATTGTATACTTAAGACTTGTAAAATATTTACAATAATATCCACATTCAATAAGTATTCCTTAAACATTTTCACTGCAATATTCATCCTGGGTTGAATTAATGTGTACATTCATTGCAACATCTAATTTTTAACCTTGGTTGCTCATAATTTTGGTTTACCTGTGTTGTGATGATCTATCATGTCCTTTGTCTGTCATAACTAGCACTTGGACCTGGTACCTGCTGCCACCATCTGTTGATAAGTTAAATGCCACCCGAAACTCTTCTGCATGACTCCCCATTTTGGCATCTCGCACACACTTCTCTCTTGCATAAATTATTTGTACACTTTTTCTGTGTAGAGCCCCTTCGGCTGCCTAGAGCTATATTGGGCTGATGTGTATATATTAAACCATGGCAACAGTCAATCGAATGAGTTCTAGGCCTACCGGGGACCAGCACCGGAACCTGGCCCCCCCTCAAGAAAGGCACGAGGAGCAATGGCCTATAGACACCCCAGTGTAATTGGAATAAGTCTGTATCTGCCATCTACCAGGTCAGGTACCCAGGAAGGTAGGAATTCCAAGACAATCTACAGCTGGTTAAAAATTGCAAACTGAAAGCTGAACTGGCAAGAAGAACTCCCCAGTCGATAACAAGCAAATAAGCATGACATCACTACATCCGCCGCACCGCTGTCTACACAATTCCTGCCTCCTTGGGAGGGGGCAGGGGGGGGTCCCAGACCTCCCTCACCAGCTACCCAACCTCAGTTCACAGTCTGTTGTGTTTGGTGGTGGTCGATCGCCTCTGGCTCCATCCTTTTGAGCAGTGCTGAACATAAAGGCGTTGTTCTACTGTGTGGTGAAGTGTGAGCCATGAGTAACACAAGAGTACTGGCCAAGGGCCACCTTCCCTAAGTGCCCTGTAAGTACTACCCTTGCGGTTTAGGGCTATCTTCCATAAGCTGTTCGGGAGACTACCTCTGTGCGATTCTTTTGCTGCTCGGTGATTGCCCACATTATGGGTCAGCTGGGGTTGTTCTTAATCCTGTTTGACCTTGGGTAGGAGGTAGTGTCGTCGTTGGCTGTGACGCAATATACGCATAATGGCTGGTTCTGTTTCCCTGGGGAAGTTGTGCTTTTGCGGGGGTTTTCTTTTTTGTGTGTTTTTTTGCCTGGTGGGGGTCTGCCTGGTGTGGCTGTAGGACCACGTGTATGATTTTGGTGGCCCTCCACTAGGTCCCTGTGACTGCACACGTTGCAAGGGTTCAGCTTTTAGTTTGTTTGCTTAGTAGCTCTTGGATAACCGGTTAGCAGTACCTTGCCTGGGCTTCTCTTAGCAGTCAGCCTAAGGGCCCTGGGAACCCCCCATTGAGGTTCACTGGTTTGATGGAGGAAACCTCCGAGTCCCACCTTCCTCTTGAGGTTATCTTGAGATGATTTCGGGGCTTTTTAGTGTCCCCGCGGCCCGGTCCTCGACCAGGCCTCCACCCCCAGGAAGCAGCCCGTGACAGCTGACTAGCACCCAGGTACCTATTTTACTGCTAGGTAACAGGGGCATAGGGTGAAAGAAACTCTGCCCATTGTTTCTCGCCGGCGCCTGGGATCGAACCCAGGACCACAGGATCACAAGTCCAGCGTGCTGTCCGCTCGGCCGACCGGCTCCCTTACTTCGTGCGAGTTTAAAGGTTGCTCTGTTTCCTTGTCTCAGGGTGACATTCACCATCTTTGCCTCCGACATGCTGACTGTTGGGTCGATGACACCTTTGACCTGGAGTCTTGCATGTGGTGTTCCTGGAGTGTACTCCAGTTCACCCAGTCTGATAATGCTGTTGATCAGGTGCAGGCAGCATCTGTGTTACATATGCGGTTTAGGTTACTGCAATGCTTCGGGTTGGTTGCTTTTCTGGATGCCCCGTGGCTGCCCTGCTCTGGTTATAGGGACCCAGACTTGGGGCTGTTAGTCGCTTCGACTCTGGTTTCCTCTGCCTCCTTGTCCTTTCCCTGCTGTGGTTAATCTTGCTAACAAATGGCTCCCAAATGTCTGAGGGTTTTGGAGCCGAAGCAGGGATTTCTTGGTGGTGAGACTGGGCAGTCTTGGGGGGAGGGGGCTTCATCTGGGGTGACGGAGGCATTCGAGCCTGGTCTTCCTGCCAGAGCTTCTGAGTCTGACCAGTGGGCCTGATCTTCGCCAGGAGAGCCATAGGGTTGTTTTGTCCTTCCTGTCGTGGATGTTTCAGGATCATCATCTCGTGCCGAATAATGTCTCCTCCTATTGTGCGGCGCTGGCAGAGCCTCTCCAGCTTGCGTTTGGTATTGATGTTGCGTCTGCTCCGTTCCATTGCCATTGTTTGTGCGCCTTGGCTTCGGTGGCCAGGGATGCGCTTTGGGTTGAGCCGGTTTCCCTTCTTCCCTGTTCCCGTGTTCGGGTCTCCCACGTCTTCCACAGGATTATTAACACTTTGGCGTACCCCGCGCGCCACCCCTCAACTGTGCGATATGGGACCCAGGGTGTCACGGGAGCGCGCGTAAATTCTGAAAAGTGTATACTCTTTTCAACTTTGTCACCTTAATTCTCGTCCTACGAGATTAAATTTTGTATCATTATGTTCGCAATAGAATTCTCTACAGCACTAAATGCATATAAACTCCAAAAGCCCGGCTAATTACCTGCAGCAAACAGAGAAAGTGCGAACGAGTTACCCAGGAGCGCGCAAACGCGATCAAATGTTTTCACTATTTTCACTCTGGTCACCTCAATTTTTATCCTAGGTCTTTCATTTTGGTCTCAATGGGTTCGCAATTGAATTCTCTAGAGGAACATTAGCATATAAAATAAAAAACCTGGTCACGCTCCAACCGCCGACGAGTTGAAGACGGGCCACGTGTTAGCCGCGAGTGAGTGCTCAGTCGCCTTCCAGCTACACTGCCAATTCCCGCCCTTTTCAAGCCTTTCTTTCGCAATTTTCTTCCTGGAAGGGCCTTGTTCATGATCACTATCCATCGTGGAGTAAGCGTAGATAGTTTCTAAAGCCGCAGTAAGAAATATAGCCACGGAAAATAGCTGAAATGTACACACGTTTGAGATGCGAGGGGAGGCAACATTGGTTACAACAGTGGAGCGAAAACAATGGGCCCACGGCGTGTGCCAAGCCGCCTGAGGGCCACGAGGCTCAACAAAGAAAATGGGAAGACATCGGCGTGCATTTTAAAACCAGTCCCAAAAAATCGGATAAAAACCTGATTTTTGGCGATTATTTAAAGTGGATGACGCAATGCTGCATCATCCCCGGTATTACCGCCAGTAAACGGATGACGCAATGCTGTGTCATGCCCGGGTGAAAGTGTTAAGGCTAGCCAGCCTGCGATCTATCCTCATGCCCATGACGTGCGTAAGTTTTGCTGCCTTGGCTGCCATCTTTGGCAGCATGTCTTGGGTTGACATTCGGGCATGGGGTTTTTGGAGGTCGAACAAGGTCCTGGCTGCTAGCTCCCTTGTCAGTGTCCCTGGTCTTCGTAGGGCCTGCGTTGCATTGGGTCGGCAGTTGCAGTCAGTTGTCTCGACTTCGCTTTGAGGAGTGAGGACTGACCACGGCTGGGTAAGTCCCTGTTTTTCATTGTCTTTGTCTTAGTTTTGGGGAGCCGACAGGGCTTCCCGCAGAAAACCAGGGTTGAATGTAAAGAAACGCTATTTCCTGGGCGAGTCTCGGAGGTTCCCAGGCAAAACCGGTGTTTTTGCGTATTTTGACATCCAGCCTAAGAACTGAAGGGTGGATCGACGGCAGGCGGGTCTGAAGCGTCCCCTTCCTCCTCCCGGGGAGGGGGGGGGGTGGCGCAGACAGCGGCGCGGTGACATGATGACATCATGTTCGTTTGCTAATTTTCGTTAGGGGAGTTCTGTCCACTCGTTCAGCTTTCGGTAGCAATAGTTTCACCAGAATAGGGGTTTGGGGCGCCTACCTTTCTGGGTGCCTGTCCTGGTTGATGGCAGACCTAAAATGCTCCAACCACATGGGGGTTTCTATAGGCCATTGCTCCTCATGCCTCTCTTGAGCGGGGCCAGGTTCTGGCTCATGGTCCTCGGTAGGCAAGAACTCTGCATTCACCTAGTTGTGTTTGCGGGGGTTGAGCTTTGCTTTTTCGGCCCGCCTCTCAACTGTCAAATCAACTGTTTACTAACTACTTTTTTTTTCCACACCACACACACACACACACCCAGGAAGCAGCCCATAACAGCTGACTAATTCCCAGGTACCTATTTACTGCTAGGTAACAGGGGCATTCAGGGTGAAAGAAACTTTGCCCATTTGTTTCTGCCTCGTGTGAGAATCGAACCCACGCCACAGAATTACAAGTCCTGCGCGCTATCCACCAGGCTACGAGGCCCCTACATTGCCCTAGGCCCCATTGCCTATGAGGCCCCTATCTGTGCACATTGACTGATGTCAGAAAGTTATACATATCCATTCAGCCTGGATCACTCCGGGGAGCCGTGGGACTCGCCCAGAAAATGGCGTTTCATTACATTCAACCCTTTCCTTTTGAGGAACCCTTTCTCTTTTGAGTTTGAGTCTTCTCTCATATACTTTTCTTTTTGGATGTGTTATAAGGTTCTGGAATCTTCCTGGCTAGCAGACAATCTTTTGTTGTTGCTTGGGGCTTGGTGGAGCTTTTATCGTACCCGTACACTTGAGTGGTGTGAAGTGTCGACCATGTTGCATGTGTTCTTTGTTGCTTGGGGCTTGGTGGAGCTTTTATCGTACCCATACACTTGAGTGGTGTGAAGTGTCGACCATGTTGCATGTGTTCTTTGTTGCTTGGGGCTTGGTGGAGCTTTTATCGTACCCGTACACTTGAGTGGTGTCAAGTGTCGACCATGTTGCATGTGTTCTTTGTTGCTTGGGGCTTGGTGGAGCTTTTATCGTACCCGTACACTTGAGTGGTGTGAAGTGTCGACCATGTTGCATGTGTTCTTTGGGGCTTTTATTTTGAGCCCCTCAATGACTGCCTGTTTGCTCTTGTCTCTTGTAGGTCTTATGCAGCTCCATGCCCAGGTGATTATGTTATTGGCAGCACTTGTGGCTGACGACCTCTGCGCCTGTTCGCATTTGGGTTCCTTCATGGGGGTTTCTGGGCCTCCTTAAGCTCAATACTGATTGGCTGTGGGAGGTCACTGAGGTGCTTGGCACTGAGGGGGGTTTTGGTCTCAGTTGTAGCTGCACCAGCTGTTCTTTCCAGGCTGTATGCTCCTATGTTCCAGGAAGTGGCCAAGTTCTTTGTTACTCAACTCATGTGTTGGCCCTGGCTCTCTTGTCCACCTCCCTCTTCTCTTCTCTCCTCTCTTTACTGAGGAGGTTATTTCTAAATTTCCTTTCTCAGCGGATACTGCTTGTAGGCCTATTTCAGACCTCCTTTGTTCTTGGGGGTTTCATGTTCATCATTGGAGGTGGTCAGGTAGAGCTGGGGTGTTGCCCGCTGTGGATCAGGGTAGGCATTCAGTGGAGCCAGAGTCCGGATCACAAGCGCTACCCCTAGCAGGTCATTCTTCCTCTGGTTGGCACAACTTCACTCCCAAGTGTTCCACCAGTTAAGAGCTGGCCAAGTAGTGGGCTTGGTGACATTTCCACCCCCTCACACATTGCATATTTTTAAATACTGTATAAGGTACAATATATAGTAGCATACCTGGAGAGGATTCCGAGAGTTGTTCTACTCCCAGAGCCCAGCTTGGGGTATTGGCTGTGATGACAACATGCTCAGTTGTATATAATAATTTGGTTCTGTTTGTAATGAGCACTATACCAATAAACATAAATTGTTCATAATCAATATTCAGTATACAGTTGATGCCATCTTGATCATGTGAATCTAAACTTATTACATACTACTGTTCAGGCATTTGTTATTGAACTTCATATATCTTGAACATTGAGTAACACCTTCCTCCCCGCCCTCCCCCCCCCCCCCCCTTGCCCTCTGCTTTGGAACACTGCCTGTTGACAGAGGAGGGGGGGGGGTTGTGGTGACAACCTTGGGGATGTTTGATGTGTGTTGTGAAGGTCCTCTTCTGACCCAAGGATAGGAGACAGTGTGCTCATGCATCTACAGTAGTTATATACCTTGTGGTCCTCCCAAGCAACACTCCTCTTCCTCCTGGGTTTGCTTTAATTGGCAGTTGAACCATCATTTATGGCTCTGATTAGATGGATGTTGTATGTGTTGTGTCAGTGACGTTGTAATGCCACATAAATTATTTATCATGAGTTGCCTTAGGAATATGAAATGCAAAACACTCCAACTTTTGTTTACATTTAAATTAATTTTAATTGGTTTATCATTGAAAATTGGTATAAAATACCCAAGTAGTTGATGACCTTGTAAAATGTTTATTATTTTATGTATTTCTCCTGTCTGTTTCACTTTTAATTGTCTGTGTTTGACACATTATCTCCCAATGTTGTATAATAAATGACTTATCTTTATAGAGTGTGTTGGAACTGCATAGTCTAGAAAGTGGGGAACTCCTTACCACTCTTCCCCTGGACATTGGCACAGTGAGCGGCTACTCTGGAAAACGCACTCACTCTGAAATATTTTATCAGTTTACATCTTTCCTTTCCCCTGGAGTAATTTATCACCTTGATCTTACACAAGAACCCCTTCAGCCCAAGGTAAACATCCAGAAATTACTTTTTAAACATGTCTCATTGAATATGACCGCATATTCTGTATTTACTATCTTCTGATTTAGGGCTTCTATCCCTCTAGCGTTTTACATTTAGGAAAAGAGACCTGGGTAAATACTGGTTCGGTTACAGGGATGAACGCTGAGATACATGGTAGTTCATGCTCTGTGTTGCTTCCCCTTTTGCAATGGATGATAGTTGGAAGTAAAATAGACTATGGTTGATTGTATTATACATTAAGTTTCAGGGTCACTGTTGTAACGCAAAACACACGACTCATAGACAGGCTTTTTAATCCCCTTGAACGTGCCTGTACAGGAACGCTGAGCGGCTAGCTGGTGACGTCATTGACCATTAGCGATGGCTGTGCAGGGTCACCGGGGTAACAGAATTTGGGTACGCCAGGAGCCAGCCTTTTAATCCTACCCCCAGGCAAATTGAAGTCTGGCTGGCAGATGACGTCATTGCCCATTGGCTATGCCTGTGCATGGGCCACTGGGGTAACGAAATTTGGCTACGCCAGGGACCGGCTTTTTAATCCCCTTGATCGTACCTGTGCAGGAACGCTGAGCGACTACCTGGTGACGTCTTTGACCATTAGCGATGCCTGTGCATGGGTCAGCGGGGTAACGAAAAACACACGACTCAAATCGCTGCAGTTCAATCTCACTGGGGTATCGAAAAACACACGACTCAAATCGCTGCAGTTCAATCTCACTGGGGTAATGAAAAACACACGACTCAACTCGCTGCAGTCGGAAAAAGCAAAACTGCAGCGAGTTGTGCCTTATTTCTATTTTCTATTTTTATAATAGAAAATAGAAAACTATTTTCCTAGCATCAGGGCTTAGCTGAAAGCTTAGCTGAAAGCTAAGCTAACTTTCGTCTAAGCCCCTGATGCTAGGAAAATAGTTAAGAGGGATAGAAGCCCTAAATCAAAAGATAGTAAATACAGAATATGCGGTCATATTCAATGAGACATGTTTAAAAGAAAACCTGCTGCCAGTATACACCAATATAAATTACTTTTTGTAACTTTGGATAACATGAATATTCATGAGGCAATATTTGATAAACTCCAATATATTAGAGTATACTTCAGTACTTTTAGATATTGATTGTAAAGATCTAGTTCAATTAAATGTCCTTCCTGTTGAAGAGTTTGAGGATGAACATCCCCGTGGCCCGGTCTCTGTTGAGGCGGCCTGGTTGCTGGTCTGATTAACCAGGAGGCCTGGTCAGAGACCAGGCCGCAGGGATGTTGATTCTCAAAATCTTCAACGGGTAGGATGTTTAATTTAACCAGATCATTACTATCAATATATAAAGATCTAGTTAAACAACATGTAACCCTTTAAACACTACCATATATATATATATATATATAAAACTAGCTTTTCCTGACGCACACTTTATTTCTTTTCAGATTTTTCGTGAAATCAAAATTGAGGGATTTGACCCCAAAGAGTTTGAGATGAAGCAAGTGTTTTACAGCAGCAAAGATGGGACAAAGATCCCCATGTTCATAGTGCACTCCGAGGGGTTGAAGCTTGACGGGAAGGCCCCTACCTTGCTGTATGGCTATGGTGGCTTCAATATTAGCATTCAGCCATATTTTAGCATCTCCAGGGTCATATTTTTACAAATGTTCAAAGGTGTCATTGCAGTTCCTAACATAAGAGGGGGAGGGTGAGTAGACTTGTGACTTCTGTCATGTTCTGTCCTTATGACTGCATTTTATCCTCACTATTTTTATCACCTTATTTCTCACTTCCTTGGGATGAGGTATCAGCCTGGGACAAAATAGGTGCAGGATGAAGCATCAGTAGTATAATATATTGTGAGGAAATGTTTTGGAGCAATACAATGGGATTGAACTTGCATTTGGTGGGTTATCTGGGATTCCATCTCGGTTCCATCACATTGCTCCAAAAGATTTTCTCAAGATTCAAGGTATCCCAGACAGACCCTCTATATGTTGCCACTCTCACTTTAGATAACCTCTGACATCATACATCTATTTAATGAGTCAATTCCAGAAAACAAATTATGTAATGAATGAAAAAGTTGAGGAAAAATAGTTTTGTAAATGGAGGAAAGCCATAGTGTAGTGTAAATGTGTGGGCAAGCATTATGATAAGGTATCATGCTTTATAGTGTAGTGTAAATGTGTGGGCAAGCATTATGATAAGGTATCATGCTTTATAGTGCTTTAGTCAGGTTTTACGGCCACAGTTTTGTATGGTAATCTTTTATTTAACTTAAAACACTCGGTTATTGTTTCAACCATTTTACATTTTTTGCACCTTTTGCCCTAAGAAATGTAATCACTGTGCAAATTCTGAGAATCTGATGCTGCACAGTATCTTACAGTATTCCTGTAGTATCTTACAGTATTCATGTAGTATCTTACAGTATTCATGCAGTATCTTACAGTATTCATGCAGTATCTTACAGTATTCATGCAGTATCTTACAGTATTCATGTAGTATCTTACAGTATTCATGCAGTATCTTACAGTATTCATGCAGTATCTTACAGTATTCATGCAGTATCTTACAGTATTCATGCAGTATCTTACAGTATTCATGCAGTATCTTACAGTATTCATGTACAGTAGTATCTTACAGTATTCATGTATCTTACAGCATTCATCCAGTATCTTACAGTATTCATGTAGTATCTTACAGTATTCATGTATCTTACAGTATTCATGTATCTTACAGTATTCATGTATCTTACAGTATTCATGTAGTATCTTACAGTATTCATGCAGTATCTTACAGTATTCATGTATCTTACAGTATTCATGTATCTTACAGTATTCATGTAGTATCTTACAGTATTCATGCAGTATCTTACAGTATTCATGCAGTATCTTACAGTATTCATGTAGTATCTTACAGTATTCATGTATCTTACAGTATTCATGTATCTTACAGTATTCATGTATCTTACAGTATTCATGTAGTATCTTACAGTATTCATGCAGTATCTTACAGTATTCATGTATCTTACAGTATTCATGTAGTATCTTACAGTATTCATGTAGTATCTTACAGTATTCATGTAGTATCTTACAGTATTCATGTAGTATCTTACAGTATTCATGCAGTATCTTACAGTATTCATGTATCTTACAGTATTCATGTAGTATCTTACAGTATTCATGTAGTATCTTACAGTATTCATGCAGTATCTTACAGTATTCATGCAGTATCTTACAGTATTCATGTAGTATCTTACAGTATTCATCCAGTATCTAACAGTATTCATCCAGTATCTTACAGTATTCATCCAGTATCTTACAGTATTCATCCAGTATCTTACAGTATTCATCCAGTATCTTACAGTATTCATCCAGTAGTTTACAGTATTCATCCAGTAGTTTACAGTATTCATCCAGTATCTTACAGTATTCATCCAGTATCTTACAGTATTCATCCAGTAGTTTACAGTAATCATCCAGTATCTTACACTATTCATCCAGTATCTTACAGTATTCATCCAGTATTTATCCAGTAGTTTACAGTATTCATCCAGTATCTTACAGTATTCATGTATCTTACAGTATTCATGTATCTTACAGTATTCATGTATCTTACAGTATTCATCCAGTATCTAACAGTATTCACCCAGTATCTTACAGTATTTATCCAGTAGTTTACAGTATTCATCCAGTATCTTACAGTATTCATGTATCTTACAGTATTCATGTATCTTACAGTATTCATGTAGTATCTTACAGTAATCATCCAGTAGCTTACAGTAATCATCCAGTAGCTTACAGTAATCATCCAGTATCTTACAGTATTCATCCAGTAGCTTACAGTATTCATCCAGTAGCTTACAGTATTCATCCAGTAGCTTACAGTATTCATCCAGTAGCTTACAGTAATCATCCAGTAGCTTACATGTATTGTGATATATATATCTTCCCAGCACACACTTTGAATAAACTTTAATGTTTTATGACTATGGTAATTCCAGTGGTTGAAATAATGTGGACAGTGAATATTTGTACAGTCCAGTTATCAGCGCACTCATTTAAAGGTTGCAACTAATCCCACAAGTCTCTTGAAGATTACTGTAGGACTTCATTCCTTGTTTACTCTATAAAGTGGTGTTTTCCTTTAATACAAACGCATGGTTTGGGGCCGAGCACTGGCCGACACTGATGGCGTAGTTTGTTACATGTGTATTGTTCCTTTGCAGCGAGTATGGTGAAGCGTGGCACAACACTGGCCGCTTGCTTAATAAGCAAAATGTGTTTGATGATTTCCAAGCAGCAGCTGAGTACCTGATTAATGAGAGGTACACATCTAGTAGGTTACTCATCATTCAGGGTGGGTCAAATGGCGGCCTACTGGTTGGTGCGTGTATGAATCAGAGGCCCGACTTGTTTGGGGCGATCATTGCTCAGGTTGGGTTAGTATTGCCATGGTTTTTTATTTGTACCTTTCATATTATTGTGCACAAAGATTTCTTGTGTGGTTTGTGTTAAATAACATTTCTATAACTCTAATGCTCAAGTATGTATTACTGTAGTATAAATGTTATTTTTCCAATATATACTGATTTCTTAAATTTACTGAAATTAGGATATGTTTTAAACTTGAACTGTGTGCTCGTGCATGTTAGGAGTGTGCCTAAGAGCGAGGTATGGGTCTGGAGGGAGGGTTGTCAAGTTTCATGACTCATTGTGCTTGCTCTTTGGTCTTATCTAGGAAGTCTTTTATGTATTTTAAGTGTGTTCTACTTGAAGATATTCAAAGCAGTGTCCACTCTATTTAAGGACCTCTTATTTACCGTTCCACTGGTTCTAAAGACTGGTTTGGAGACCGGTATCTGAAGCCTCACATACTGGGTCTGGTGGTCGATAAAACCGTAGGCCAGTATTAGGTTTGTTTTGGCCTTGGCGTGTCCTCGCATGGTGTGAGATTATATCTATTGGGGGAATGACACTAATATAAGTGACCTCAGTCAGAAAGGACTGCACTAAGAGCACATTAAATGCTATGTGTGCAGATTATTATTTAAGGTTGCAATAGATGGCAAAGAGCTGCCGCCAGAGTCCAAATCCTTGGGACTCTTTATCACTGGGTCGTGGAGCTCCTCAGAACCGCTAATGGCAATATAAGGGTAGCTCAATGGGATCTCACACCAAAATTTATCTTGGTGTGTTTGGCAATGAAATTGGTTCGAGTCCAGAAGTATCTAGAACAGCATATAAACAGATTCAAGTATGTGCCAGAGTCCAATACCAGAGACAAGGTTATTGGAAGGTATTGATGGAAAGACACTTGTCGTTTGGTAACAGTTAATACTGTATTTATTCACAAAACTTAATAATAACAATACAAGGCTCAATAGTTTTAACGTTACGTTAAGTCCAACGGGACACTATGCAAAACTAATCACTCATCCAGTATAGTCGAACTTCCGGTTCGCGGCTGAATCAAGTTGAACTAATCTGAACAGCAGGTGCTCACTCGGACACAAGTTAGCAGTTCACCAACTTCGGCAAAACAATTGATAATTTAACACAAGACACAACAGCCAGACCTATCACGTTTACTTTGAAAAAATTAGAGTGCTCAGAGCAGGCTACTTTAATGGCCTGAATGTCTATTGAATGAAAACAATTGATTAAATCAAATTCAATCAAAACATACAATTTAATGATTTACATTAATTCATGATAATTAATACAATCTGCCAACACAGACAGTCAAGCAATCAAACAAGACTTTTCTATAGTATTATGATGACAGGGTAATTAAACAATCAGTGAGTAAACACCTAAATTACTGTCACGCTGACAATTGATAATTTAACTAAACTCACGGTAATTTACAGTGACAGCTAATTAAACTCACAGTGATTTACGTTAACACTGGTTATCACATAAACAATACACACAGAAATCACAATTGCGTGATGCATCAAATGAACATTTGTTCATTGTTCATTTGATGCATCACGCAATTGTGATTTCTGTGTGTAATGAAGTAAGGGCGAAGAGGGAGAATGGCCTATTGACATAGCTCGAGTGCATGGGGGAGTTGTGTAAAACCGGGTTTGTGCCTCGGAGAGGCTGCAGGATCCAGTAAGTTCAGTAGAACTTCGGTTTCAACTCCTTTTGACCATGTCGATTAAGGCAATGTCTGGGATGCTCTCGGACGCAGGTTCGAATCCTCGTCACGGCCCTTGTGGATTTGTTCACATAAACAAGCTAACAAGCAAGAATTAGCCAACACATTGTTAATTACCTTACACTTCACTAATGATGGTAATTAGTGACTAATTGCGCTCACTGACATTAATTATTAAGTCACAAATTGATACAAAACTGGGTCACACAGACCAACAAAACACAGTAGCAATACAGCACTAAACTTCAGCGCTTAAATGACACAACACAACACTGTCACCTTAATGAATGACAAATCTTACACAGAGACCTGTAATCACAGGTAAATAACTAGGATAATCACCCATTTACTTTATAGGCTGGTTTTTTCCTGGAACGAGACATAAAAGAACATACACGGAATATATTTGACTGTCATGGAATGTATTTACATAGGTATTTTGACATTTTTAGGCGATGCTGTTAGCTCATGCTGTGTGCGCCAGCCTTGGTTGTCCACTCAGTACTGAGGCTCTCACACCCGAAGATGTTACCCACGAATTTTTTTAATAATGGCGTCTGTTTATAAGAGCTCTGATTAAGCTGATGTGAATCCCATGTGGCCGCAAGACACACTACCCCCGACTCTTACCCTGCAAGTCCGGGTCCCTAAAACTAAAATGGGGCAGTCTCGGGGCATCCGGGAAAGCAACCAACCTATCGCGTTGCAGAAACCTAAACCTAGCATGCAACGCTACCGCTGCCTGCACCCTCATATCATGATCAGTAGCTTGGGTGAACTGGAGCACGTACAAACAACAAACATCGCACACCTCCGGGTCAAAAGAATCACCGACCCTACAGGCAGCATGACGGAGGCATAACCGGTGGTTGTTCCCCTGAGACAAGGGGACAGAGCAACCATCAATCTCGCACGAAGCGAGAGGGAACTCAAGGGTCGTATCCAGCGGACCTCGGAGCTTCCATAGGGTTTCCCAAGGTCCTTAGCCTTGGTAACACACTACGGGAAGTCCAGCCAGTGTACTGCGAACTGGGGCCCAAACTACCAAGCAAAACTTTTAAATCTGAATCCCCGGGACGTGTCCACTCATGGGGGCCAAGCAGGGGGTAGCACCAAGAACACGGAATGTATATAATTATCCTAATCTTAAATAGGGCCAACCTACCAAATGCAGACCCCCCTTCCCACCAGGCAGGAAAACATAAACAAAAGAAAACCCCCGCAAGAGGACAACGCACCCAGGCGGAACAGAGCTGGCCGCTATAACAGGTGATAACTAGCTGTGCAGTACCCCTTGCCCCTACTAGTGATGAAAACTACCTCCTACCCAGAGGCAAACAAGGGCAACAAAAACCCCAGCTGACTCCAAGAGCAAGCAAATAGTACCGAGCAGTAAAAGACACAGCGGAGGTAGATACCAAGGTGACTTGTGGAAGGTGGCCCCCAAGGGCAGTACTTACAGGGGCACCTAGGGAAGATGACCCTAGGCACATGCAGCCCAAGTACCGAACAATATTACTCTTGGCTCGCACACTACCCGTAGAGACAGCCCACACCACAAGGCACAGAAACTGAGACAATTGCAGAAGCCAGAGGCACAAGACCATGCCAGTAGCAATTCAGGCAAGAACTGAAGGGTGGATCACCGGCACGAGGGTCTGGGGCTCCCCCTTCCCTCTCCTGGGGAGGGAAGGGGGGAAGTTGCGCAGACAGCAGCGCAGTAACCTAATGACATCATGCTCGTTTGACAATTTTCATTTGGAGAGTTCTGTCCACTCGTTCAGCTTTCGGTAACAAAAATTTCACCAGGATAGGGGTTTGTTTTGGGGCACCTACTACTATACTGTATGCCAGACCCATGTAACACCACCCAATTGTAACACCGCCACTAAAGTGTACCACCATAATGGAACACTACTTATCCTGAGTAACACTTCCTCATCGGTTGCACTTGATAACACTGTTATGAGCTGACATATGATGGTTACACCGGAACCAAAGGTACACTGCCAATAAGGAAATGCTAACACAAGGATTAAATACGCTGCCACCATCTGCCTTTGACCATTGAAACTATATCAAGCAACGAGGCAAGAAACATTGCTTGACTTGGAGAGTACTTTCTATGACTGTCATTAATTATGAAAACGGTTGTAAGCCACTATATCCAAAAGGCTAAGAGGGTTCAACAATTGACACAGACGGGAAATTTAACGAGTTTATTGAGACCAAAATTATGTCAATCACCACTTATAAATCCTACTCTAACACTGGCAAAAATTTAAGAAATTTGGACATGGAACAGAACCTCAGAGATCACACACATTACCTTAAGATATCTGTCTCTCCCTGGCTGAGATGGTCTTCAAAGCCCTCTCTGGACCCCGGTGTCCGGCACTCTGTGTTGCCTATGTCCCTACAGGCCCTCTATATACAACCCCCACAGGGGGGAGGGGGAAGATCTGCTGTTACTACCTGCCCCAAGAGTGTACAAACACTCAAGAAATATTTCAAAAAGCTTGTTTGACATTCACCATACACTCTTCAAGAGAGGAGTTATTAATTACATGTGTGACTGACCTCTGACCTGGCCAAAAGGGGGAGATCCAAGGATGTTTACACATAAGAATCTGGAGTCTAATTCCCTTGCATGAAATATTACATACTTGAAACTATGCTGACTAAGACTAACCCAGGAATTTTTTTTTAATCAACAACAAAATAATCCGGAGGTCATCTGGGCTGACCTCTTGGAGAAGGCTTCCCTGGGTGTGAACTCTAAGGGGGGGGGGAGGTCCTAGGTGTTACACCCAGTCGATGGCAGATTTAGAATGCTTCCAACCACACGGGGGTTTCTATAGGCCATTGTTCTTCGTGCCTCTCTGAGGAGGCCAGATTCTGGCTCGTGGTCCCCGATAGGCAAGAACTCCGTGCACATTGACTGATGCCAGAAAGTTAAACATATCCGTATCAGCCTGGATAGCTTTGGCAAGCCTCGGGAACTCACCCAGAAAATGGCGTTTCATTACATTCAATGCTGGGTTTTCTACTGCAGGAATATTATAAATGTTATCAATTTACTACGCCATCTTTTACAACCCCTGAGTTCACATGAAGCATTTTTGTTTTAACATTGTTTTTAGAATTTACAAGTTATTATCTGATCGTTAATATTAGATAATTAGTCAATGTAGTTGTTGGCCTAAATGTTGGTATGAGTTTAGCTATTAATACTGTCTCTTGTTTGTAATGGTGCTAAAGTGTGCTTCCTCTTAATTAAGCCGTGACAAAGCTTAAACAATACTACCACAGATATTATGTATGTCATAAAAACACTGATTTTTGAGTCTATATAGATACTGTAGTCCAGTACCATCATATATTTATGTACATATCAATTGATTATCTTCAGGGTAATGGATATGCTGAGGTTCCACAAGTTTACAATTGGTTATGCTTGGTGCTCAGATTACGGCAACCCAGATGAAAAGGAGCACTTTGATAATGTTTTGAAGTACTCACCTCTGCATAATGTCAAGGTCCCAGCTGAAGGTATTCAGGTATGTTTAAATAGTGTAATTTGTTCATTTTTGCCTCGTCGGTCATGCTTAAACTGAAACATCGGCAAACAGAAGTCTTTTACATAAGATGGATAGAATGTTAGTTCATTAAGTTGGTGAAATTCATTGGAGATTCAATGTTTTTAATCGGTAATGCAAAAAAGTTTTATAAATTTAATTCATATAAGAGATGGAGAGAATATTTTAAATACTATGGCAGATTTGGCTAAGGAATTCAGGATATTAAATTGAAGAGGATTAATGTTCATGAATGTGAATCATTTTCCACAAGTTCATTTTGTAAAGGAATATGAGGGCATGATGTGTAGATGCATGAAACTGTAGCTGTGTGGTGTGAATATCTGCCTTCTGCTGTGAACATCATAACCAGCATTGTGTTCACTGATATCTAAACCTTGTACATAGTCTTTAATCACAGTCACACACACATCTTCTTTGACACTGTCACTGCAAAATAATTGCACTTATTTAAGTTGCTCATATTAAGTGATGCTGTGGGTACAAGTTGCACAGCAGTGCTGAGAGTTGCTGCAGCGTGTACTACCAGTGGCTACTACATACCCACGACATTTTTTCCAAGTCGGCGTATATTTACTGGATGCCTGAGGAGGCAAATGTAAGCCCTGTGCATCTTTTGAATCATTTGCTTTTCCAACAAATTAGTTTTCTCTGTCAGCGCACCACCTGTCTAACGAGATATGCCAGTGCGTGCGGTACAGGGGTTAATGAGTGAGGCCTTTCCCCCAGCGTCCCTATTCTTTGGTGCTTGTTCTCCACTGAACATGCCAAGTTTACCGGGCTTGGAGGGACTTTTAGCCTCAACAGTACATGCAATGTTTACAATTTAGCTGGTGGGAACTCCACCACAGAGAATAGACCTTTTGTTACCCCAATTAGGATACGTCCCAGGTGTTTAAGGGAGAGTTGAGGGCATCGTAAATGGTGTCCCAAGATACACAAACATCCACAGAAATGTGTTTAATAAAGGTAAAAAAGAAAAGATAAAATAGTTTAACTCCGCTAAAAGTACAGAAATAATTGTAGCTGCCACTGGTGGTTTGTGTGAACAGTACTGGTAGTTTTAAACTAAAGTTGGTAATGAATGAGATTAACCCTTAAAGGGCACAATACACACATGTATGTATGGACATGGAACTTGCTTTCTCAAACTTACTTAAATGTTTTCATATTTTTGTGTGCATAATCTACTAGCAAATGCTCCAGCTTTGTCTAAATGATACCAACGTAACTTGAAAAACAAGAAAATAAGAAATAATTATGAAATTGAATATTGAAAACATCAGATTTTGAAATTGGCTGCAAAAATATAAAATATCACCAATAGTTCATTTAGTGTTATTATGCTCTCAGAATAGCATATGATCTTCATTTTCATAGATTTAGAATATAGGTTTTCAGTATAGTTTACTGTAAAAAAATAGTCAATATAGCATTTGATATATTATGCATGCCAAATTTAGACAAAAAAATTGATAACTAAACATTTAGATTTTATGATAAATCCATTCTATAGGGATTGTAGAACAGACAGCTGTGCACACTATATTAAAAAAAAAAAGAGAATCGGTCAGAAACTGGATTTTTCTGGGGGGGAACACCCTTCGGCTCCCCGGAGCTATCCAGGCTGATATGTATACCATTACACTTTGGCATCAATCACTGTGTATGGAGTTCTAGGCCTACCTGGGACTACGAGCCAGAACCTGACCCCCTCAGAGAGGCACGAGGATCAATGCCCTATAGAAATGCACATGGGATTTGGAGCATTCTGTCTGCCATCGACCAGGCCAGGCACCCAGAAAGGTAAGCGTCTCAAAACAAATCCCTATTCTGGTTAAAAAATACTAAAAAAGACAAACGAATGGACAGAACTCCCCAAATGGAAACGTACAAATGAGCATGACGTCACACGAGCCACGTCGCATGTCTGCGCAACTCACCCCCTTCCTGGGAGGGGGAAGGAGGAACCCCAGATCAAGAGCCCAGTGTCACTTGAGGATCGACGATTTGGTTCCTTTCAGACTGCTTCCTCAGTGGTTCATTACCTGAACCAAGGGGGTTTGATGCGGTCTGGTTTGGGGGGTTAGTTGCTTTGGTGACTCGTCTGCTGAGTTCTCAGGGTTTGGCTGTCCTGGCCGTTCATGTTTGGGGGGTGTCCAATGTCCTGGCAGACGGCCTGTTGCGGTTCATTCCCCTGTCCAAGGAATGGACAGTCAAAGCTGACTCATTCAGTTGGGTCTGCCAGATGTTCGGTCTCACGGAGGTGGACCTCTTCTTATCGGCGTGGTCGAGGCATCTCCAGTTATACATGGCACCCTTTCCCAACTGCGAGGCCGTCAGGGTCGATGCCTTGTGGCAGGACAGGTCGAGTGGGGTTACCTGTACCTCTTCCCCCCAGTTCCGTTGTTGCTCCAGGACCTAGCTTGCTTGGAAACTTACCAAGGAAGAGTAGTCCTCTTGGCTCCTTGGTGGCTGGCCCAGCCTTGGTTTCAGGCGCTGTTTGCTCGTTGTCCGAACCCTAGGGTCCTTCTGCGGCCTCGCCTCTTTCAGCAGATCAATCCGGTCCGTTACGTGGCTGATTCGCTCTTCTCCTCGAGTCTTCACGTTTGATCTTTCTGACTAGTCTTGTCCACACCTGCCCACTTGTGTGGTGAGCAGGTGGCTTCATTGATGGTGTCCCACCTGTGTGTTTCGTCTCTGCGGCAGTATGACATTTCCTGGCAGTCCTTCCATTATTTTTTGTCCCTTTGTAGATTTACTTTTGTCTCTGTCCAGGTTGTTTTGTCCTTCCTATTTTGGTTGTTCCAGGACCGTCGTCATGTGCCGCTGGCAGAGCCGCTGCAGCTTGCATTCGGCATTGATGTTACTTCCGCATCATTCCACAAGCTGTCTCGTACGTTGTTTCACTTCCAGCCTGCTCATGTGCTGCCTGAGCTGTTCTGGTCATTGGAGCAGGTGCTTCCGTTATCTCCTCGTTATCTCCGGTGCTTCCGTGCTCTCTCTTCACTCTTCGCCTCGGTTTGTGGTGGCCCCTTCGGTTCAGGATTGTTTTTCCAAGGCGAAAAATCCGTTGGTTTTTCCTGTTGGCATTGGCCTCTGGGGGTCGAGTCAGGGTGCTTCATCCTCTCCTCCGGTACAGGGGTTTCTGCTCTTTTGGTCCTGGGGGTAGGTTTGTTGATTTGCATCCTTCTTTTCTGGCGAAGAATGAGACTTCTGCTTTCCGGAGGGGCCCCCTTGGGTTGTTGATGCTTGGTTGGCTAGGCCAGGGGTGCATCATGTGTTGTGTCCAGTCGCAGCTCTCTGCCATTACGTGCCCGCCACGGCCTCGGTGGCCAGGTACGCGCTTTGGGTTGACCTGCTTTCTGTCCTTCGCTGTTCCAGGATTCGGGTCTCCCAGGTTGTCCACAGGGTTATTCGGTCCAGTCAGCCTGCGGTCTATCCTTGTGGCCACGACGTTCGTAAGTTTGCTGTGCTTCTTAGTATTCGGTAGCCAGAAAGATTGTCTTGGGCTGACATTCGGGCACGGGGCTCTTGGAGGTCAAGCGCTTTTTGGCTGCTTACTACCTTGTAAGTAGTATCTGGGCCTCTTCGGGCTTGTGCCGCTTTTGGTCGGCGGTTGCAGCCATTATAACTATATAATTATTCCATTATAACATCAGGCAATGATGACTTCTCTGGGGGTACACACTATGGCTTGTTTTGCCTGCATACCACTAGGACCTGCTTGTGGCTCACTGCTTGTTTTTCCTCACTAAAAACCTGTCTAGTGACACTTGTTTTTCCCTGTGGTATAACACTTGTCTGAAGTGAGACATCACATTGTCATTAAAAAGGTTAACACAACGGCCTACTACAGCTTGCTCTGGGTGAATTAATAACAACTTTTCAACATCCTCAAGTGTTTGTGTTCTTTGTTTCATGATTGTTGATATGCCTTTTGTCACTTTAGCACTCATAATGTCCTTTTTCTTAGCAATTACAGTGCATATCAGTGACATAGATTTGTTGTACTGCGTTGCTGGTTCAACAACTCCTGTACCATTTTCATGTTTACGAATGATCTTTTGTTTATCCTCTATGGTCATTCTCACATGTGTTTTCTTGGCTTGAACCTTACCACTGGCTTTCTTGGGACCCATGGTGAGATATATAATAATTACTTTTATGTTCAAATACCCAAAAATAAAAAAAACACTGAAATTCTTTACAAAGAATTCAGACGTGATTGTCACTAGGCGGAAGGCACTGGTAAACTGACGCACGATCGCCGTGCCACCACGTGCTAGGTTGGCCATACATATATCAACAAACTTTGTTTCCCGAGGCAAAGTTTTTAACCCGATTTTGATTTTACGAAAAAATTGGGCTCGTAACCCGAAAAGTTCGTAAAGAGGAGCATTTGTATTCCGAGGTGTCACTGTATTTGTATTGAATTGTTCGTGCAGCTGTGAACAAAACTCATAATGTGGTCTGCAGCTAAGGTAGATAAGTGTTATTGACATAGTACAATACAATACAGTGGAGTTAACTGTGCCTTTATTTTGTATTTGCAGTATCCTGCGACGTTACTGTTAACAGCAGATCACGACGATAGAGTGGTACCTCTGCATTCCTTCAAGTTTATATCGGAGTTACAGTTCAAGCTCGGCAACAACTCCACTCAGACCAATCCACTCCTTATTCGCATTGAGACAAAAGCAGGGCATGGTGGAGGGAAACCTACAGCAAAGATTGTAAGTAATATTGTTGCAGTAAATTAGTTTATATGTACATATACCCTGTACATTACTTTGGAACAAACTAGTACTCTATATAATATCAGATATCACAAGGAAAATTTTGTTGTTAAAAAGAGTTCTCATTAATTCTTATGTGTAGTTCCTTAAATCTTCTGAAATTTAGAGCAGCACTTACTGATTATCTTTTTGTATACTGAAAATACTTAGTTGACGACCTTGTATCTGACGCCCAAGGTCTGAGATAACACCCATTATTTACCGGTTGACGACCTTGTAGCTGACGCCCAAGGTCTGAGATAACACCTATTACTTACCAGTTGACGACCTTGTAGCCGACGCCCAAGGTCTGAGATAACACCTATTACTTACCAGTTGACGACCTTGTAGCTGACACCCAAGGTCTGAGATAACACCTATTACTTACCAGTTGACGACCTTGTAGCTGACGCCCAAGGTCTGAAATAACACCTATTACTTACCAGTTGACGACCTTGTAGCTGACGCCCAAGGTCTGAGATAACACCTATTACTTACCAGTTGACGACCTTGTAGCTGACGCCCAAGGTCTGAGATAACACCTATTACTTACCAGTTGACGACCTTGTATCTGACGCCCAAGGTCTGAGATAACACCCATTACTTACCACAACTTTTGTTTGCGGAATCTGTAAGAAAGAAATGAATAGATTTGATTTACCAAAATTAATTATGAAGTAATGTAATATTAGTTGTGACCTAAAGATTTTGGTGTTAAGTGTTGTGTTAAAGTGCAAATATGTTGCAAATTAAACAAACATACTGTCACATTGAATGGGCCAATAAATAACAATGGACCTTGTCTATATTAAAAAAACTAATGTGGTTGTGTGAGTGTATTTACTATTTTTGCCTGCGGGATTGAGCTGTTAGTCTTTGGACCCCACCTTTCTAACTGTTAGTTTTCTGCATGCGCATATGTAGTTATAGGATGAGAGCTACCCTTGTTATGTCCCATATTCCTGGAACACTTTGTATATGACACTTTTTAAACTACTGACATCTACCCCCTCTCATGTTTTTATACAACTGTCTACTGCTCTGCAAAAGTGAACTTTCTAACTTTTTTTTTGGCACCTTTGTTTCGTGAGCTTGACTCTATAACCTGTTGTTCACGAGGATTTCCCTGAGATGAGCCCCGTTGGCTCCCTGAAACTAATGGACTGATATCCGCTGTATTAGTCTAGAGCATCAGTTACTGTAGTCCCTGTGCCTACCGGGACCCACGAGTCAGAACCTGGTTCCCTCAGAGAGGCGCAGGGAGCAATAGCTTGTGAATACTCCACTGTTTGAGAGCATAGCCATGTCTGCCATCGACCAGGAGTATCACCCAGAAAGGTCGGTGAACCATTACAAGCCCAAACTGGTAAAACACTGCATCATGGCCAAACATAATCTAAGAACTTCTCCCCAGAGAAAATGACAAATAAGTAAATGTTCACTCAACCAGGGTGCACGCTCATTGGCGACCCCCCCCCCTTCCCAGGAGGGGGGAGGGGACCCCGCCCAGGAGGGGGGAGGGGACCCCGCCCAGGCGGCTCAAGTGCTCACACCAACAGTTCGTTGACTGAGGCTGTATAGAGCTGACATAACCTCTGGCCTCATTCTCCTACTGGATTTTCCCACTATGTGGTTGTGCCGGCTGTGTGATTATTGTGCAGTGGCCAGGTGTTCTGAGAAGTACTCGGGCTGCATGCGTCTAGGGTTACCTTCCCTAAGCGCCTGGTAAGTACTGCCCTTACGTATTCAGGGTTTTCTTCCCTGGGACGTTCGGAATTGCACTCCCGTTGAGGCTGGTGTCGCTTCTCATTGACCTCGCCCTTGGGGTTCAGTGGGAGTCGTGGGGCTTTCCGTCTGGCCCTGGGAAGGAAGTGGTGGTGTTGTTGGTTGGGGTGCACGTTCTTTTGTGCTGCGTGCATAATCGTGGCGACCGTATATCTCTCTCTGGCCTCTGGTTATTCGAGGGTTTCAAATTTTTATTTTTATTTTCCTGGAGGTCTGCCTAGCTTGTGATTAGGTTTGCCTAGGTTGTGTTTGGTGGGCCTCCTCTGGTTCTCAAGGTAGCATGCACGGCTTCCTGGGGTCAGTTTGCCCGATATTAGATGGAGTTTACCAGCTTTAACCAGCTTTAGCTACGCCAGTGCCTGGGCTCCCCGTTGAGATTCCTCCTCCTGCTGGACCTGTAAACCCCTAGGGGCTCAGTACAGTACTTCCGTGTCTCCACTCGCTTTTTGCGAGTTTGATTGTTGTTCGTTGCCCTTGTCTCTGGGTTCAGCCTCCATCATGCTGCTTGTTGGGTCGGTGACACCTATGACCCAGAGTCATATGGGACTTGTTCCCCGGTCGTCCTCCAACTTACCTGTTTCCCCCCCCCCCCCCTCCTCTCGGTTCCCGGCCCCCAAATACCTGAGGGTTTTGGAGTCGGGATGGTGTTTAGCTCGGGAAGAGACTTGGGCGGCTTCGGAGGCTGCCCCATCCAATGCAGATAGAGAGGTGGTTGAGCCCAATCGTCCTGCCAAGTCTTGTGGATCCTCCCAGTAGACCCCCTTCTTTGAGGCTTTTTCCTTGGACTCCGCCTTTTCGTTAGGGGCGGTGGGCATGGATGAGGCATGCGATGCTGCCGCCTCCTGGGTAAGTCCCGTTTTACTTATCTGCGGGTATATAGCTTCAGGGAGCCGACGGGGCTCGCCTCAGAAAACCAGCGCTGAATATAATGAAACGCCATTTTTTGGGATGAGCTCTGGAGACTCCCTGGCCAAACTGTCCTCTTAAAAAGAACGTCGCTTTTGGCCGTTTGCCCGTATGGCCGAATTTGGACGTAATTTGAAAATGAAAAAAAATGAAAATAAATTTGGGATTTTTTTTCAACAACAGTAAGTTAAGGGTCCTCTAGGTTAGGTGGGCAGGAAATTCTCATAAAGTTTCAAAACGGTATGAAAAACGTTAATTTAAAGTGTCCTCTTATAACCTCTAAGCGTAAGCCGGACAACTCAAATAGAAAACGGAACAGAACGTCACTTTTGTGAGTCGATTTCATTTCAAATTACGTCCAAATTTGCCCATAGTGCGCATACCAGCGAAAAGTGACGTTATTTTTAAGAGGACGGATTATCTTGAGGTTATCTTGAGATGATTTCGGGGCTTTAGTGTCCCCGCGGCCTGGTCCTCGACCAGGCCTCCACCCCCAGGAAGCAGCCCGTGACAGCTGACTAACACCCAGGTACCTATTTTACTGCTAGGTAACAGGGGCATAGGGTGAAAGAAACTCTGCCCATTGTTTCTTGCCGGCGCCTGGGATCGAACCCAGGACCACAGGATCACAAGTCCAGTGTGCTGTCCGCTCGGCCGACCGATCGGGTTGCCCTGGCACCCTCCCTCCCTCCCTCTGGTTGGTGGTTTGTTATCACTCTACGAATTGCCAGTGTGAGTGCTTGGGCCGCCTAGCGGAGCTCCCTCGCCAGGGGAGGTGGGTTCTCAAATGAGTAGGCGTGCTGGTTGAGTGAACATTTGATTGTTTGTTGTTTTCTCTTGGAGGAAGTTCTTAGCCTATGTTTGGCCTTGATGCAGTGTTTTACCAGTTGGGGCTTGTAATGGTTCACCGACCTTTCTGAGTGATACTCCTGGTCGATGGCAGACATGGCTATGCTCTCAAACAGTGGAGTATTCATAAGCCATTGCTCCCTGCGCCTCTCTGAGGGAACCAGGTTCTGACTCGTGGTTCCCAGTAGGCACAGGGACTACAGTAACTGATGCTCTAGACTAATACAGCGGATATCAGTCCATTAACTTCGGGCAGCTTTCGGGGTTCAACCCAGAAAATGGCATTTCATTTCATTCAACGCTGGTTTTTTCTATAATTACCTAAGTGTAGTTACAGGATTTGAACGGTGCTTATAGTGTCCCGTCTTCCCAACACTTTGTCATATAATGCCCTGAAACTACTGACGGTCTTGGCCTCCACCACCTTCTCACCTATCTTGTTCCAACCGTTTACCACTCTGTTTGCAAAAGTAAATTGTCTTATATATTTCTTTGGCAGCTTTGTTTAGTTGGCTTAAATCTTTGTTTTTGAAGTTTCAAGTCTCAGGAATTCTTCTTTATTCATTTTGTTGATTCCTGTTACTATTTTGTTTGCAGTGATCACATCGCCTCTTTTTCTTTCGTTTTCTAGTCTTTACATATTTAATGCCTCTAAACTCTACTTGTAGCTATTTATCTTACAACTTCAGAAGCCATTTAGTTGCATGTCATTGCACCTTTTTCAGTTTGTTGATGTGCTTCTTAAGGTATGGGCACGACACAGCCACTGCACATTTCCAGTTTTGGTCTCAACAAAGGTCGTGAACAATTTCTTAAGTATCTCACCATCCATGCATTTAAAAGCAATTGTGAAATAGGAAAGTGTAGCTTAGGCTTGATCCTTGGAATCTCGATGAGGTCGGCTCCTCGCACAGTGTCCTTTATGTCATTCTCGGGTAATAGCTTTCTATTTAGAACCACCCTCAGATCTCTTTCTTTATCTGAATTTTTTAAAGCTTTTTCACATAATTTGTAGGTTGTATGTGGTCTATTTTTCCCCATAACACTTTCCATAACATAGCATTTATTCATTAAATTTTATTTACCAAGTGGTGCTGCATACACTTGTTTTATCTAGGTCTGATGAGAAAAATCATTCCGAGTTGTGAATTTTTGGTTTACGAGCCGTCTCCGGTAACGGATAAAATTCGTAAAAGAAGGTACCGCTGTATCTTAATTGGGAGCCTAGGAACAAATGAGAGCAGCTTCTGGAAGAATCTACTCTTGGAATGCAAACAGTACATTACAGTATGTTCTGGAACCTTGCGCATTAAATACTCTAGAAAATGGAGCTAATTATCCTTGCATTTCTTTTGCAGATTGAAGAGCACACTGACATCTATTGCTTCATCATGCAGGCTCTGGGCTTGGAAGAGTCGTGACTTGCCTCGAGGAACTCTCCCAGTTGCATCTTTGTAACTTCTTATTGTACAAGATATACTCTTAATTCCAACATCTGTAACTTTGACTTTTCTTTGATACAAGTGAATTTGCCAATATCATACTTTTGATGCCAAAGATTGAGGATAAAGCCTGTTTCCTTCCATTGTAAGAATTATATTTACCAAAAGTTTTTTGAAACACCTAATGTACTGTATTATCATTTATATATTATTAACACGAAATTGTAAAATTAACACGGGTAAAGAAAAAGTATGCCACAACACTGTCCTAAAATGTATATTTTTAGAAATAGCATGTATACTTAGAGCACAGGGTGCTCACAGTGCTAAGAAATACTAAATTTGAGAGTAGACTTTATTGGTAGATATTTTGTCTGCAAGGGCTTTATTTTATTAAATCAAATACACCAAACTTGTGCATATAAATGTGAAAAGTTGAGGGGGTAAGGAGAGTGCAGTGAAGGCAACACCCCACCACCGTAGTGTGTGTTATAAGTATTAAGTAAAGCAAGAAGGGGTGATAGTGTTGAACATAACTTTGACCTGTTCAGTGGTGTGTTGGTAGCTGTAGATTCTGCACATTTTCTCCTAGTGTTGTCTTCTATTTTGGTGATGCAGTTAGCATCCTTAAATTGATGAAGTGTTGCCCTTGGTTCCTGTTTGCCAGATAAGAGTTATTACAGTTTTTGACATAAAAAGGATTCTTATGTTTGTAATTTTGTTTGATCTAAATTTAAGTATGGTTAACCTATAAATAATGTCACAATTATTTTAGGGTGTACTATTGTGTACAATCCTGCCATAGTGACCATGATTTTTTGTTAATTTCTCTGTGTGGGTATTGATGATAATTAAAGTTTTATGCACAAAATCCTGTATAGTACTGATTCTATTAGTCACTGTTTGTTGTTTACTACCGATCCTGTCTCAAGACTAAGCCATTGTTCTGGTTCTGCTTTGTTGTGTTGGTTGTTTGTCTTTGCTGGTTTTCTGTATTTCCTAATAAACTATAAATGGCTGAAGATTTAAGACGGAATTAGTAATGTGTTGCCATTACAACATGCTAGATCTTAAATATCCTCTATGTTTCATTATTGAATGCAGAACCCAAGCAATAAGAAAATTAAGAATATCACTAACAAAGCCATATTAAATCACTGGCTCACTCTTCCGAGAGTGCAAATAATGTAACTCAACCCCACTACTCTCAATACCCGTATTAGAAGTAGAAAGAATAATGTCACCATGGCATGGGGGATACACTATACTGTTATAATTGTGACACATTATACATAGGTATAACATGCACAAACTTGCTGCGATGATTTACAAAGATAAATAATCCATGTCAGTAACGCCAACAACGTGTGTTTGTCACACATCAGGACCACCTCCACATTAACTTGAGGAAGAGTCAACTCACCGTCAAAGAAAACACAACTGGGGTGACATTGTTTGGCATATACAGCTGTTAAACCACTTAACACCATCAAACATAGTGAAGAAAATTTCAACTTCACAGTATTATAGCCTTGATATTTACTTGCATGGTGATAACCTTCATTATTTTGACAAATATGTTAAGATTTCATATAATACAGTTATTCTAAATCAGTTTAACTTACACACTGAGATTAAAAGGCATGAAATTATGCCATAAAGATAATTTTACTCTTAAAAGAAGAGTAACTTTTTGATGTTTGACATTTTGAGTTTGGTAAGAACTATGGCAGGCCTTTTATATACATTACTTCATTTAAGAAACCCTAATGTTACCTCATTGACAAATAATAAAGTGGTTGGAACGGTAAATACTTTTGGCCTTGACTTACACCCTCAAGCAAACATGAACAATTAACATTTTGAGCATGAATGCATTTTGGTTTCTTAACCCTCAACTCGAGGCTATTTGTTACCATCTTTTCCATAACCTGATTCTTTTTTTTGTTACTCGCTGATCCATCTCAAGTCTAGAAATCCTTAACCCTGGTGGAGATGCAATGACTTGTCTAAAGTTATAGAATTCAAACTTCTACTTATAATAAATTAAGCACAATTAAAACTATATACATTACATTGACACATGGACACTGAATACTGACAATGTTTGCATCAAATGTGGGGATAAAACCCACACACTTCTGGAGAGAACACCTCTGGTGAGGTCTTCTCCACCAGCCCTCTTGCTAACACACTCCTACAGTGAGGTCTTGAAGCGCTCTGCTAGCACGCTCCAGCACAGACATCCAGGGTGGACAAAGATAAACTTTTTAGCATGGGTATAACAAGAACAGGGGACACAGGTGGAAGTTTTGTACTCTAATGAGCCACAAAGACATTAGTGGAATACACTAGGCAGTGATGTGGTGGATGCAGACCCCATACACAGTTTCATAAGTAGATATGATGGAGCCCAGTCAGCTCAGGAACCTGTTCACCAGTTGAGAGGCAGGACTGAAGTGCAGCCTGGACATCCTGCTACATCCCTGACCGGTACATACTGCTGCAGCCCCGACCTGCACATCCTGCTGGAGCCTCGACCTGCACATCCCGCTGCAGCCCCGACCTGCACATCCTGCTGCAGCTCCGACCTGCACATCCTGCTGCAGCCCCAACCTGCACATCCTGCTGCAGCCCCGACCTACCCATCCTTGTGCAGCCCCGACCTGCCCATCCTGCCCCATGTGCCAGCAGATGGTCTAGTCCTGCCTAATCCTGGCAGTGCTATGGGTCTCACAGCCAGGAGGGATGCAGGCGATTTTTATTCAAGTTTCCGTCTGTTTACTGGAGTTTTAAGGAACAGGATATGAGCGTCGTGTATCCATAGGAGTTTTGAATCATTCCTAATACAGTACAGTACCTAAAATCTCCATATGGCGTCATGCGCCTTAAGGAGATATGAGTCGCATCGTTTCTTCTGCAGCTCCATTCAGTAAGTTGTCTCGTTTTCTTCCCTGGCCTACTTATGCTTCTCCTGAGCTGACAGGGTCCTAGATTTTCACTCCTTGGTTTATGTCGGCCCCTTCGCTCTGGGATTCCCTTTTTAAGGCCGAGTTTTTGCTGGCGCTTGCCACCGATTTTGGGATTGGTGAGCTTCCTGGTCTTTTCCGGAGGCAAGGTTTCTGTTCAAGGGCCTTGATGGGCGCTTTCTTCATTTGCAACTTTTCTTCTTTTTCTAACAAAGAACAAGTGAGCGTGTTTCCAGAGGGGTTCCTTTGGTTGATTTGGCCAGGGGGTGCATCATTTGTTGTGTCCGGTGGTGGCGATTTGTTGTTACCTGCGTGCCAACGTCTTGGCTTCAGTGGACACTTTCGGTTGATCCAGTGACCGTGGTCCTGTGTCCCAAGACTCGTGTTTTTCAGATTGTCAGCAGTGTCATCAAGGCTAGTCAACACCTCTGGTCTATCCTGGGCACATGATATTTGCAAATATGCTGCACTCATGGTGGTCTTCTCTAATTTATGTCTTAAACCGATATTCAGGCTTAGGGGGGGGTTGCAGATTAATAGGGTCATGGTGGCTGGGTACTTAGTCAATATCCCTGGTTGTCTTCGGTCCTTTGATCATGTTTCGCAGATATTGGTCTCTTCTTTGACTTGGTGCTTTCTGCCTCTCCTACTCTGGTAAGTTCCTCTAACATTCACTGTGGTTACTTAGCTACAGGAAGCCACCTAGGTGTTGCCCTCAGAAACCCAGCTTTAACCATAATGAAACATATCGTTCTGGTAGAGCTCCTTTGGCTCCCCGTCTCCCTCCCCTTCTGTGTTCATTGTGATGTTATTTACTCCTGAACTGCTCTGATTGCTGAAGCTGGACCGGGCCGCCCAGTGGCAGCATTCGGTACTAGCAGGTTCTAGCTAGTTTGGTTTTTCTTTGGATATTGTATATTTTTATGGGTCATTTTGCATTTTAGTCATTTTTGAAGCTTGCAAACCCAGCAGTTGTTTGTAAAACTTTGCTGACTTTCTGAATGATTTCCCGGTAATATAGCAGATTGTCATTTGCTCTCTGCACCACATATGAAGTGGAGTCAGGTTTTGGCTCTGGTCTCTGGTAGGCTAAATGAACTCTTGCAACTAATGTGACTGGTTGATTGGAGCAATCTCAGTGAGATAGCTACAGGGAGCCACCAGGGCTCTACCAGAAAGATGCGTTTCATTACATGCACTGCTGGATTTTTATACCCGACCCGGGGTCTCGCCAATGCAGGACAAAGTACTTAGGCATGCAGCTGCCTCCCGAGAAGAGGCTGTAACCACAAGTGTGCCAGTGGGGGTGGAGGTTAAAAGTAACTTGGGAATCCACAGTGCTTCTGGATGTGTACATCAGGGCAGGCATGTTCATTGTGACAAAAGATCAAAATACAGTACTTTGGTCATGTAGCAGGGCCAAACAAATCATGGAATGTAGCAGTGGCAGGAGAAAGCAAACGCAGTGGCAGTGCCAGGAACCCTCATAAAGGAGGGGGATAAATGGCACAGTTGTCACAATGGAAGATGGAGCCACACAACACATCCTCCATAATGGAGGACGAGGTAGTCACCACCGGGGAGCTCGGGGCTCAACACAGCCATGGAAGTGGGAGTGGACTGGTTAGCAGTAGTAGTTAGAAGTGAAGCCTGGTCTGGGTCCAATGTAGCTGGGCAATGGAGCCCATACTTTCATCACAGTTCAACTTGCAGGATTGGTCACCCTCCCCACAAGTCTGAGGAGAAATAAGGTCTGACAAATTTTTTTTTACTAAAGTAAATGACTTCACTGTCCAGCACACCCCCAGCCACTAGAGTCCACAAGGGTAAGCAACCTCAGGGATAATGAGAACAGTATGCGTAGGTTACCATTGCAGGGCTGAATGGTATCCCAGGGAGCAATAGGTGTACCAACCCTACAATGCCCATTTGACCTGATGTCTTACCAAGGTGTAGCTAATCAGGCAAGCAGCTTGGTTCAGGTGGGCCGTAGTGAACCTCCAATTTTACCCATCCCCTCGCCAAAGAAGCGAGTTGCCCACCCCATCCCATGGGCCACAACCAGTGGGTAGGCTCAACTCACAGATGAAGGAACAGAAGGGAGTGCACGGGTCTCCATACACGACCAAAGTGTTGGGGGGACATATTTTACTTGTACACCACCACAGCAGGCAGGATAGGGGAGCAATAATTAGCCCTCCCTATCCATGAGTGATGCACAAGTGCCTGTTCACTGTGTCAAGGCACTTCCCACTAAATGGGAACATTTGTGAGTAATATGCCACCTTGGACAAGGTGGCATATTATTATGCTACTGCTATTATTACGGCACTGTTCTGATAACAAAAAGTGACACTTGCTTATAACACACTGTTACCAATGATTTAGTTAAAAAGACTTTCTTGCCTTAATAAGGAATTTATTTCCCACAAGTTTGAGACCTCTGGTATATAGCCGTGTATAATTAATTGTGACAGAGACTTTAGAATTGTATTGGAAAATAATAAGCATGATAATAAAACAGGCTGCTGTGAGATTTTATTTTCATAACTTCATTGTTAGGATATACACAAAGTAGTGGCATAGGACTGAGAACGTAAACATTTGTCAAAACAAATACCCTAACAATTACTGGTGTTATTTCTACTTATCTGCAATATGCAATTATGGTTCTAGAACACACATTGTTTAAGGATAAATTAACAGGAAACTCAGTAAAACTAACATTGGTCAAAGAACACATGTAGCACAACACTGACAAAAATTCAACTTTCAGATAATGTTTTAAGAATAACAATAACAGACTGTAGTGTTTGCCTCAAGTTTCTTAGAACACACACAACGTTCACAGAAACCTTCGCTGTAACTAAGCAATCCAGTCCTATTTGCTTCAGAGTTCATATACATAAATCTAAATAGGCCTACAGTACTATAATTTGATTTTAACAATTTATAAATATAAAATTCAGAATGTTGATACACAAGTCAAATATCTGAAGGAATACATAAATTGCAAAATGTATATAGCTTTGATATTTACTTCCATGTATGCTTCATTATTTATGCAAATGTTATGTCAAAATGTCATAGTACTATATACATGTTAAATACATTGAACCTACATGCTATGAGATTAAATACCATGCAGTTATGCCATAAAGATAATTGTTTAGCATTGAAGGAATAAAGTTTGACACTTTCTGTTTGGTAAGAAGCATGACAAGTCTTTCATTTTTTGTAAACGAACTATATTAAAAAAAACATTGACAAATAATGAAGTGGTTGGAACAGTAAAATATTTGTTGCCTTGACCTATAACCCAAGCATACAAAGAGTATTTAACATTTCTACCATAAATATTTGCACTTTTTAATTTAAATCTTTTACATGGTTTTGCTACACAGCCTTCCCGGCTTGGTGCCTTCTATTGATAATTACTTTTACATGGTTTATAAACTCTTTTTTTTTATAGATCCTTATTAATAGTCATTTAACAGCGATTTACATTTTGCAAAATATAAATTAGTAAAATATTTTATAATTTTTTTATGAGATATTTATCAAATTTCCTTTAATTTCAATACTAAGCAAACTATTTTGTAATGTTTAGTCTAAAGTATCTATATCTTCAAAGGAAAGTATTCATGTTTTGGTTTCGTTGCCACAGACACGGCAAAGCTGAAAATACATCTTACTCATCACACTCAAATATAATAATTGCCTTTCCAAATTCATTGAAATTATTAAAAATAATAATCCTGATGTCCTCAAAGTTAGGTGACATCCCACTATTAAATGTTGACACTTTACTGATAGATAAATACTATATACACAGTCTCCTATAATGATATCTATACGTACAGTTCTGGTAAATCACATTCTTCACATATTATGCATAAATTATTGTATGGCAAATTTTAATTATAAATAAAACATACATATACTGTATGTATATATACTGTATAGTAAATGCAGTACAAATTTATTTTAAAAAACATCTTAATGCAAAATTTTACAAATATATTCCAAAATAAGTGAGTAGCATCATACAGGTGTCAAGAGATTTATAATATGTAAATAACACATTAAATCCAGATTAACAACACTTCAATAATAAAGGTGCTAGAGGCTGCACACACTCCAAGTGACCACTCACATCAAACACAAGCTAAAATACCCATTTACGCCTTCACAATTTTAATAATATTATTACACATAATAAAATACGTGAACCTTTTGAAGCCATTTTATATGAATTTTTAAATATTATTAATTTAATTGAACAGTTATTTCAAAACACATGAGAAAGCTTTATAATCAGTTGTGAAAAACACAAACTTGGAATGCACAAATAAGCATATGAATGCTGATTAAATTTACTTCCAGGAATGTTTATGTAGTGTAAGCTTCAAAGTACTTGTAGCAAAACATTACATAATGTATAGTAATGTTTAAGACAAAAGTAAAGAATGCAACAGTTGTTATATCTTTTAAATAAAAACTATGATAAAATCCAAATGTGGAATGTAAGATTTAATGATAGAACATTACTGCAGTAGCCTGATGGTAGAGAAGCACCCACAGCGATGATATACATAATGTGGCGAGTGTTTACCACACACACACGCGGCCCACGTGCCTCTCTCTCTCTCACCAACATAAAGGTTTAAGTGTATTCAAAGACACACACAACCAAATTAATAGCTATATTTGGAGGAACTACTTTATGAAATTCTATAAATAACACTCATTAAAAGAATTAAAATTTGACCAAAGCTAATAGATATCCAAGTGAGCTTTACTGGTACAGAATATGATTGTAAATTAACAATATAACAGTACATATGTGGCAGCTTCATATTTATAACAAAAAAGTAAACAGCAGACCCAAGACATACATCTGGTGTTACCATTGCACTTGCTTTTAACAACTATCAGATGCCACTGGATATTACATATAAATACAGAACTACAAGTAATCAAACAACATTTTTCTAAAGTTCCATGTAATGAAAAAGGACTAGAAATTTTACTGTGTATATTTTCTCTAATAATTCTCTCCCTATTTTTTTCATCAAGCACATAAAACATTATATAAACGAGTGTGTGAAGACAAACGTAGAGTACAGTACTGTATGTACCTCGCAACAGAGCTATGAACATAAATGATAAATGAAGTGAATAGGAAAATCAATCATTTATACTATAACCAAATGCCAACAGTAAATTTGTGTATTTATTAGCATTAAACAATAAAATGTGTGACACACTTTACACTCTGGTATTTCCCTCAGGACCTCATAGTCAAATTATATTTAGCAGTGCAAGGATTTAGCATTTGGCAAGGCTTGATTTTTTATAATTATTACCTTTGAAATTATTTCCAATTACTTAATTATTTTGTACATGTCTGTTTGGAAATATACTTTTAATTTTCTCCACAAGAATTACACAAAAAATGCATAATACTGTAGCATCCTGGGAGAAACATGACATTATAGGTGATATGAAGGATCCTAAAATTTCATAACTTGAGCTCACAGATGTAGAGTAATATAATTTTGAAAATAAATTACTCTTGAAAGATTTCTGGAAGACATTTAACAGGATAACAATTTTTCCTAATTTAACGTAAAAAATATACTCAATGTAATATATAAATTTCATCTAAGGACAGACTTGTTAAATATTACTGGTACATGACATTCATACCCCACACTAGATGGGTATAGTTACTGATGACTGTTACAGTTACTGGTACAGTACTGGTGCATGGTATCCATACCCATGCCAGATGGACCATACTGATGACTGTTGTAGTTACTGGTACTGGTGCATGGTATCCATACCCATGCCAGATGGACCATACTGATGACTGTTGTAGTTACTGGTACTGGTGCATGGTATCCATACCCATGCCAGATGGACCATACTGATGACTGTTGTAGTTACTGGTACTGGTGCATGGTATCCATACCCATGCCAGATGGACCATACTGATGACTGTTGTAGTTACTGGTACTGGTGCATGGTATCCATACCCATGCCAGATGGACCATACTGATGACTGTTGTAGTTACTGGTACTGGTGCATGGTATCCATACCTATGCCAGATGGACCATACTGATGACTGTTGTAGTTACTGGTACTGGTGCATGGTATCCATACCCATGCCAGATTGACCATACTGATGACTGTTGTAGTTACTGGTCGTACTGAGGATCCCGCGCCGATTACGGTATTTTTGTTGCTTTGTCATCTGAAGTAGTAAGACAACATGGATAAACATTAACAGGGTGATTTAGGAAGATGTTTGTTAAAGATAATTTTTTTTTAACCTACAGTACATAGATTAACTTTCTCTTAATTTTATCTTAATTTACAGTACATATGCATTCAGTTAGGAGATCCTTCCTCAAACTATTTCACCTGCAGATATACACTACATTGCTTACGTCTTACACACAACAATTACTTTCTGTGGAGCCCCCCTCCAGCTCCTGGGAGCTTTCTGGGCTGATATGTATGTATTAGACCGTGGCATCAGTCAATTCGATTGGAATTCTAGTCCACCGGGGACCACGAGCCAGAACTTGGCCCCCTTCAGAGAGGCACGAGGAGCAATGGCCTATAGAAATCTCCATGTGGTTGGAAGCATTCCATGTCTGCCATCGACTGGGTTAGTCACCCAGAAAGGTAGACATTCCCCCCAAAAAACCTGGGTCAAATAAAATTCCACCAGAATTTTGGCATCAGCCAAAATTCCATTTGGGTCAAAATTGCTACCAAAAGTCGAACCATCAAGCAGAACTCCCCAATCCGCAAACAAGCATGACGTCATAACTGCCGTTTTGCTGCTGTCTGCGCATCTCCCCTCTTCCCGGGATGGGGAAGGGGGGAGCCCCAGACCCCTGCGCTGGCCATCCAACCCCCAGTTCTGAGGCTGATGTGTCGAGTGGCGGTCGTTCAACTCTGGCTTCTGTCTCTGTGCAGTGCTGTGCCTTTGTGGTGGTGTGTGACCTAGGAGTAATTCACAGTCGATGCCTTTCGGCAGGACTGGTCGAGATGGGGTTACCTTTTAACTCTTTCCCCAGTTCCGCTGTTGTTTCTGGTTCTGGCTCGGTTGGAGACTTACCAGGGGAGAGTTGTCCTGCTGGCCCCTTGGTGGTTGGCCCAGCCTTGGTTTCTGGCGCTGCTTGCTCCGTGTCCAAACCCAGAGACTTTTCCATGGCTCTGCTTCTTCCAGCAGATTGGTCCAGTTCGGTACGTGGCTGGTTTGATCTTCTCCTCCGATCTCTTTGTCTGGTCTTTCTGATGTGGGTCTATCACCACTTGTACAGTGATCAGGTAGCTTCATTGATAATGTTCCACCTGCGTGTTTCGTCTCGGCAGCGGCATGTTGTTTCTTGGTGGTCCTTTCGTCATTTTTTGTCTCTTCGTAGGTTGTCTTTGATTTCGGATAGAACTATTTTGTACTTTCTCTCTTGGCTGTTTCAGGATCGACATCTTATGCCGAATACTGTCGCCTCGTATTGTGCGGCACTGGCGGAGCCGCTCCAGCTTGCATTCGGGGAGGATGTTACTTCCGCTCCGTTTCGTAAGCTGTCCCCCCCTTCGCCCTCCTGAGGAGGGGGGAGCAGCGCAGACAGCGGCGCAGTGGCAGTTGTGACGTCATACTTGTTTGCTTGTTTTTGGCTTAGAGAGTTCTGCTTAATAGTTAGGCTTTCGGTAGCAATTTTGAACCAAGTGGAGTTTGTTTTGGGACGACTACCTTTCTGGGTGCCTAACCCGATTGATAGCAGACATGGAATGCTTCCAACCATATGGAGATTTCTATAGGACATTGCTCCTCATGCCTCTCTGAGGGGGACAGGTTCTGGCTCGTGGTCCCTGGTAGGTAAGAACTCCAATTGAATTGACTGATGCCACGGTCTAATACATATATATCAGCCCAGTAAACTCCCGGGAACCTCCGGGACTCACCCAGAAAATGGTGTTTCATTACATTCAACGCTGGTTTTGTGCTTTTTATACAGGAGACAGGCTTAATTAAATATCAATTTATCTGTCTACACAAATAACAAAACAGAAAGCAAAGATATAATTAAAATGGTTAATGTGCCTAAAATCATTTTGTTTAGGATTTCAAGATATTTAACAGTAAGACATTGAAGCCATTTAACTACATGTAGTAAAGAGAGAGCTCAATACAGGTGAAGGTAAAGGAAATTAACTATAATCCTATAATCAATGAAAATTATTTCTTAAAGTTTTGTCTCACTGATTTGATGTATCTGAAAATACATATAAATTTCATAGTTAACTGGACATGAGTAAAATATTGGCTGATCTTGATAAAATTAGGCTTTGAGTATTTATGGAAAAGTGGGGAGGAGTATTGAGAGAGTTTATACATTTAGAGAGGAGTATAAAGCTCCCCAACACTATAACCAGATGCGAGTACTAACAGAAAAACCGCGTTATAATACAGATCACGGACTGAAGAGGAACCATAAACTGAGAAGAAAGAAAGGGGAGGACATGGTTAAGAGACCAGGAGGGCTCAGGCAGCAAATGACCAAGTTGAAGGCAAAACAATGCATGAGATAGATTCGTGAATCAAGCCGAGGCAGGACTGATGCCAAATGAAAGCAGCAGTGGCTCCATCAGTGCCCTATGATAAGGAGCAAGAGATGTCGGTCGAGAAACAAGTAACAAAGGAAAGAAAGAACCACCAGAACAGAATCGGAAGAATGACGATACCAAGCGGCTTCATACTGCTGCCAGGAAAACGAATGCTGGTGGGATATCTTCAATTCAGCCACTTGCTCACCATATAGATGACAATAAAACACGTCAGAAAGACCAGATGTGAAGAGTCGAGAAGTTTGAACCAGCAAGGTGTGTCATTGTGCTCCATGGCTCTACCTTTCTGAAAGAAGCAGAGCCATGGAAACATTACTGGGTTCGGATTTTGTGCAAGCAGCAACATAAAGTAAGGCTAAGCTGGCCACCAGGAAGAAACCTGGAGAAACTGCTGGATAGGGGACAAGAGGTAAAGGAACCCCCACTGCAACTAATCAAACTGAAAGGTTTCCACTGTGAGGGTCTTGCAATTAGGGAACAGAGCCATGTAGAAAGGAATGTGCCAATTCCTAGCCGACACAGAGATGAACATCAGGGCCTTGTCAGAAACAGGCCCGTGGGGACATTGATCCCCGAAATCAACGCAAGGTAATCGCAAGATAACCGCAAGGTAAGGGGCACTCGAATATTTTCATATGATTATGTTGCAAAGCCACTGCAAGGAGGCAGTGTTGACAGTTCACTCCTATGAGATGGGAAGTGAGAGACCATCTGTGAAAATAATGGACACTTCTTGAACATGAACAGTGTGGAAAACCAAACCCTGAGAAGCCAGCAGACAAGCTAAATGAAGCATCCAGCTCCAAAAGAGAAATGGACTGAGGGGAACCTCCCTGGTTCAGACACTGAACCACAAGGGAACAGTCTGAATGGAACTGGGGCATGAAGCCAGGCAGAATCTGAATTCTCCTGTGAGCATACCACATGGCTGCAAACTTGAATACACCATACTGTGTGCCCAACATAACAGACGTGACCAATGGTCCTGGGCAGTGCTGGTCACAAAGCCCCGGCCCAGGGATATTGGTTAGGTCCTCTGCTCAAAACCTAAGAGCATGGGCTCCATGCTCTGTCTCCCTTAGGACTGTTCCCCCATGATTCATTGCCTCAAATGGCAGGGGTTCACTTAATCCCTTGCACTTTAGAGCTGGAAGCTTCGAGTAGCTCTTCTATGAGGTTCTTGGGGTTTGGCACTCTGTGCTCTTCATGTTCAGGGAGTGTACAATGTACTCATATATGGTCTGTATTGGATCCTTCACATCTCATCTCCATGGAGTAGTCTGTTGATGCCTTCTCCTTCCTTTGGCTTTGCAAGATATGGCTCTTTTTGCATTGGTGTGGAATTGGTGCCTTCCTCTGTAAGCGGCTCCATTCCCTGATTGTGAGGGAACTCTTTTTTCCCAGTCCAGTTGTCCTGGCCAAGTTGGAGTCCTACAAGGGAAGAGTAGTCCTTCTGGCTCCTTGGTGGCTACACCAGCCTTGGTTTCAGGCACCGCTTGTTCAGTGCTATCAGAGGATCAGCACAGTGACTTAATTCGCTGGTTCACACTTCTTCTTAGCTCTTCACGTCTGGAGAATTTGAAGCATTTTTATCTCCATCCTTATGCCAATCAGGTAGCCTCTTTCGTAGTGTCTCACCTACATTTCTCATCTAGTGGCAATAAGAGGCTTTTGTGATGCCCCTTTCACCACATCCTTTCCCCTTTTTTGTTGTTCTTAGGTTTCCGAGTGTGTGGTGCTCTCCTTTCTTGAATGGCATCTCACACTGTTGCCTCGTGCAGTGCGGAGCTGGTAGAACCACTGCAGCTTGTGTTCAGTGTGAATACTATCTCAGCTCCATTTCACAGGCTGCCTCGTGCTGTGTTTCACCTCTGGCCTGCTCATGTGCTGCCTGCCCTGCTTGGTCTCTGGACTGTAACTGTACTCTTTCTTTTCTTTCTTTCTTCTCGCTTCACTGTGTCCCCTTCAGTTTGTGATTCTTTTTCCTAGGTCTTGATTTTGGTGTCTCTTGCTTCTGGTTCCAGGGTCAGGGAGATTCATGCCCTACTCAGGTGGCAAGGTCTCTGTTTCTTTGGCATTGGTTGGCATTTTGTTTGATTGCAGTTAGCTCCTTTTCTGGCGAAGGACAAGTCTTTGCATCAATAACTAATCTTGAAGTTACCTTGAGATGATTTCGGGGCTTAGCAACCCTGTGGCCCGGTCGTCGACCAGGCCTCCTCGCTGCTGGACTGGTCAACCAGGCTGTCGGACACGACTGCTCACAGCCTGACGTATGAATCACAGCCTGGTTGATCAGGTATCTTTTGGAGGTGTTTGTCAAGTTCTCTCTTGAAAACTGAGAGGGGTCGGCCTGTTATGCCCCTTATGTGCAGTGGAAGCGTGTTGAACCATCTCGGGCCTCTGATGTTGACAGTTCTCTCTCAGAGTACCTATTGCACCTCTGCTTTTCAACAAGGGGTATTCTGCATATCCTGCCATGTCTTCTGGTCTCATGTGATGTTATTTCTGTGTGCAGGTTTGGGACCAGCCCCTCTACTATTTTCCACTTGTGTAAATTATTATGTATCTCTCCCACCTGCGCTTAAGAGAATACAGATTTAGGCTCTTTAGTCA